AGCGTGGCAATCCCCGCTGGCCCGGGCACTTGGCAGCAGGGAGTGGTGCCCGTTCCTCCCCCGCCTCCTGAAGTGCCTCTGTAGAAATACCGTTTGAGTGAGGTTGTACCCCTCACTGGTGCAGGAACTAGGCAAGAGGCAAGGATTTATGTGGGTGGAGTCTTGTACTGGACCCCGGTTTGGTTGGGAGAGACTTAAACAAGCTTTTGAACGCAGTTAGAGCTGGGTGATGCTGTTGAAGTGTCCCTGCCCGGCTCCCTGCAACTGCTGCTTTGACTAGTCCTGTGCCCTTTCACTTCCACATGTCCCCTCTTCCCCCGGTGGCCACTGTGTATTCAGCAGCTCAACTAGGTCTGTCCCAACTGAGCGGTTACATCGTGGTTTGGGGCACTAGTAGGAGTCTGGACGCCAGGCTCCAGAACAGCTCTTCTGCTCATGCGGCTCATACAGCCAGCCAAAAAATGCCAAAGATTTGGTGACATGCTCAGGCAGCAGCACTTTTCAAGCCAGGGAAGGACCCAGCTGTCCCAAAGAGCTTCAAACTTGTCTTTCTGCTATACCACACATACAAATTATACGGCTAGCTGATGCTGAACTGGCTTGCCCCATACGTAAATAAACGCCTGATCCCCAAACAGGGCAGCCTTCGCCCTGGAAAATCAACACCAAGCCAGCTGCTTATTCTGAGTCAATTAACTGAGGATGGTTTTGAAAGAGGCCAAATCACCAGAGCTGTGTTTATCAACCTAACAGCCATCTACGATATAGTTAACCACCAGTTCCTCCACAAGACCCCAGAAATGACAAAAGATCTGTACCTTACAGAACTGATGTGAACCCAGCTCAAAAACACTTTTTTGCCAAACTGGATGGGAAGTGAAGTAGATGGAGGTGACAGATTAATGGCCTCCCCCAAAAGAAGCATACTTGTACCACTGTTGTGGAACTTGACCAGCCAATCAATTTGGAAACAAGGTTTCATCTGTTCAGACAACCTGTGCATAACAAGCCCAAACACTTAACTTTGACAATGTTGAAAAATCCCTTATGGAAGCACTAGTTGGCCTAACTTCATACTACACTGAAAACCAGTTATATATCAACCCAACAAAAACACAACCATGTATGTGCCTTCTGTCTGAAAAACAGTGAGGCCAACCACCGACTGGCTCAGCATTGGATGTCCGGGACCCCACTATCCCACTGTCCAAATCCAGTTTACCTTGGAGTCACCCTTGATCAAACCCTCTCATACATGAAGACGAAAGCAAAGGTGAGCACTCAGAACAACATTCTGCATAACTTCACCAGCTTGAAATGGGGAGTGAGCCCCTCAACCACTGGAAGCACTGCTCTGGCTTCCAGCTTCTCTGCTGAGTATGCATGCCCTGTACTAAGCACCTTGACCCTATTCTGAACAATAGCTGCTATCACAGGATGTCTGAAGCCTACCAGGCTAAACAGGGCTAGCTGGCAATGCTCTGCCTGACATCAGAAGAATAGTGGCCTGCAGGATAGAATCGAGACAAACTGAAGATGTGAGATGCCCACTGTATGACCATCCCGCAACACCCAAACATCTGAAATCACGCAGGAACTTCCTCACCAGCACCCATCCTCTCAATGCCACGCTCAAGGAGACAAGACTACTACACATGTGGAACGAAAGGCTGAAGAAAGTACCTGACAGCGGAATAAGGGCATTCCAGCAGCCAAGTCCTTATCACCAGGGGCTGATGAACCATGGCAAAGGTGGCAGTCTCAACCGCCTACGTACCGGAGTTAGGTGCTGCAAGATACTAATGAAGAAGGGGCTATACCATCGGTTCAACCATCTCTGACTGCGACACAGAGCTTCAGACAATGCAACTCCTGCTGTAATGTCTGCTGTTTGCAGGCGCATGTACAATGAAAGACCTCACAAAGTACAATAAATGAGCATGAGCATGTGTAACAAAATGGTCAAAGGTGATGTAGAAACATGAGAGGAAGATGACAACCAAGCAATTGGTCCAATAAAAGATACCACCCACATACATCCTTGACTCTGACATGGAAATAGTAAGTTTCTGCAGCCCCCATGGTTTCCATCAAGGTCCCTGTCCAAGGTATCGTCAACCTGAACCTGTTAGGAAAGAGGAGTGTGCTGGCATTTATGTCAGGTTGCAACCCTTGACCTATGCCTTGTGGTTTCTTTGTTGCATATCTGCCTCCCATTAGGTATTAGATACACTTGAAATTCTGTTTCTTACTCGAAAAGCCATCTGAACTAAAGTGCTCAGTTGCTACAATGATGAAAGCAGTATAAGAGCTGTATATAATGGGTCTGTGCTGTTTTATCCAGCCAACATTTCTGGGTCATCTCCTCCAGGAGCAAATTCAAGGCCTGATATTCCTGTTGTTTCCAGAATTTTTCAGGTGTCACTATGAAATCAGTGCAGTTCTTGACAGTTTTGCTACAGCCTAATAATTCTGAATAGTTAGCTGACATATTTGGCTGAAGTTGTTGCTGAAAAATGTAGTTTGAGATTGACTGAAATATTTTGCAAAGTTATGCAGATTGCAGCAAATCAAAAATAAATTCTAAAATGGTTGACACCTGTTGTTTTGACTTTCCTGTTCAAAATACTGTTTAATTTCCAAATTTTACCTTCATTAAAATACTTCTGAAGATGTTAAATAATGTTCAAGAAGAGAATTAAAAAAATTATTTAAGAAACTAACTTCCCTTTGTTTCTGCATTGGTCTAAGTGTTCTGAATAGCATCTGGGAAATAGAGCACAAATGGTAAAGTCTATATTACAGTAAGTTATGACCAACTGGTGAAGTTTATAGTATTACAGTAACAGTTGCTTTCAGTAAGCGGACTTATGGTCCATTGGCTTCTCTGAACCTGTTTATATAGACACACAGTTTCACATTCATGATGTGCTTTTTTTAATATCCTTCATTTGTCACAACCCAAAGTTGTGACTTTTTGTTTGTGTGCGCTTCGGCACTGCTAAATTATTTTTCCCGCTAAATTGCAGCTTCTTTGCACGGTGGAGTTTTCTGCTGTAAAGGAGAACCCCGGTGCAAGGGGGAATTTCCCGCCAATTTGTAGCTTTCTTTGCATGGTGCATTTCTTTTTGCATCTAAGAAATGCTCGGTGCAAAGAGTTCCCGCCATTTGTATTCTAATTCGAGCCCCATTATTGGCTTGCGTGAAATTATTCACACGTGGCGGCTAGTGATTGGCTTGCTAGCCATATAAGAGGCTTGGGTGGTTTCCGCCCAAGTTGGAGAATTCTGAGGAGAACCTCCGCAAGGGAGGACTCCACGAACACCAGGAGGAGGAGACTTCACGTCTTGTGAAGATCTCTAAGCGCTGTGGAGCCTATTGGACCCAGCGCATTTAAAGCAGGCAACAGGGGTCTGATCAGCCTCTAGCCTCTCCCCGTCACCGAGCGCAATCCTCGACGTATCCCTCTTCCCTGTGCACAAAAGGACCCACGGAGCCTAGCAAACTTCGTGGGAGAGAGAATAAACGGACCCACGGAGCTTCAACAACTCCGTGGGAGAGAGAGAGCTTGTCGTAGTCCTCTAACAAGGATTTAAGCAGAGCTGAACCTGGAAACTGTTCAGCCTACACCACCACGACCATCCTTGGTGTAAGTAAACAATCTTTAAATCAACCATTATGCGTCCGTGACTAATTCCAGCTTGCCACCGGTCCTCTCCGACCCCGCGTGCCCGGGCTGCTGGCCACAGCCCGTGTGCGCAAAGACGGGTCCGCATATTGCTCCCGGCCCGCTCATGGCGACATGGATGGGATCGGGAGGCGGCCCGCACACATTATGTATGATTATATTGTTTTTATTTAGAGAGCTAAGGACTTGAATCAGATGGGCTACTGCATTGGTTTCCAACCCTTTGCTTGCAGGCAATATGTTTCCCAAAGGATACTCCAGCCTAGCTCCTGACAACAGGAAATCTTGCTTTCCCCAGATACATCTTCCTTTAGGTTAACAGGGAGAACAAAGTGTGATGTTTACCACAGCAAATTATTTCTTCAGTATTGTTACCACTGAAGGCTGGGGACTTCTCAGGTAATAAATGAAGAATGACTAATTGAAATTGGACCTGCATAATACAAGAAGTTAGGCTGGTGAGCAAAGAAAAGCCTTTTAGAGAGTTTACAGCCACAGTGCAGTCTCTGCTTATTGTTAATTCATAGATGTTATGGCCCAAAGCCACCGTTACTGTTATGTGGTTTAACTTCTTGAATAACCTAAGCCATTTAATTTACTCCCAAATTTATGCTTTGAGTTGTAAAGCTTTTAGAAAGCTATCCAGTCTTCACTGAAAGATTTCAAATGATGGTGAATCTACCATATCCCTAGGTTACAGTGGTTAATTATCCTCCTACATAATAGCTACACCTCATTTCAGTTTGAATGTTTCTCATTTTAGCTTCCAGCTACTAAGTATTGTCATGCAGCTGTCTGCTAGGTTAAAGAGCCCTTTGAAGTGTAGGGTTTTTTTCCCCATTTACATGGCCAGGTCACTTCTTATTTCTCAGTTTTTAAGCAAATAGTTTGAGCTGTGTAAATCTCTTATTGTAAAGTATATTTTCTAGTTCTCAAATCTTTCTTATACTTTCTCTGAAGTCCTTACAATCTTTCAACATCCCTTTTAAAAGTTTGGACGTAATATCAACAGTGGAGTCTTAAATCAGAAGGCAGGGTAGACATGCACTGTATAGGCTAACTAAATCAGAAGTGCATAATGTAAGCCAGGGGTTCCCAACCTTTTTATGCTGAGGACCAGCAGGAAGTGACCGCGGACTGGCAAGCCGTGGACTGGAAGTGACTGTGGACCGGCAAACTGCAGACCAGCAGTGACCAGCATACTGTGGGCAGGTAGCCAACCCTTTTTCTATATTCAGACTAAAAAAGGGTTGACTGCTGCTCCACAGTATGCTAGCCACTTCCATTCCATGGTCACTTCCAGTCTGGCAGCTAGCCCTCCTGCAGACCAGCAGATAACCCTTCGCGGCCCACCATGGGGCCACAGCCCAGGAATTGAGAACCCCTGGCATAAGCTTTATGAAAGCTTTGCAAAAGCTTATACTATGCATCTCTGATTTAGTTAATGTGCAAGGAGCAAATCTACCCTGCCTTCTGCCTTACCAATTAATCTTTTCAGCCAAAACATTTCACTGGACAAATATATTCATTAGGTATCTAGAATAACCCCATAATCCTTTTCTAAGTCATTGCTTTCCAGGATACAATCCTCCTTTCCAATATGGCTTATATTGATAGTAGATTTATGGATTTACATTTTTTGTTTTGTTTTGTGTTAGCATATTTTCTATTCAGAATAAATCATCAAGTATTAGCCTTACTGAAAGAAATTTCCTTAGTGGCCACAGGCATAATTAGGAAACCAAATTACAGTGTAGTAACTCCACGCTTCAGCTACTGTGTCATGCAGTATGTATTGTTTGTTTTTTTTCCCCCATGTTGCATCAGTTTACTTGACAGAGCCTAATTTAAGCATTTGCCATCTGTTATCTATGGATGCAAACAAACCATGAAGCCATCCCTGGGGTTAATAAAAAGAGATGCTTTAAGAAATACTGTTTAGAGCAGTGGTTGACGGTGTTTTCCAGCAGTGGAATGGAATGGCCCAGCTTGTGTCCAAGGCAGGCTGGCACTAGGACTTGTCTGTCACTGCTGCTTGCTCCTGCTGCCACTTCTCTCTCCTGCCTGGCTGCAACACAGCACAAGAAAACTCCCCACTACTGAGCTTTCCAGCTGATTCAGTCCGCCCCCGCCCCCGTCCTCCTCCTCCTCCTCCCACCGAAGCCCCAGCTCTGCTAATCAGATTCCATGGCCCATAGGTTACTAACCCATGCTTTAGAGGGTTAAGAGACTAGAAACCACAGTTCTTTCCAAAGGATGAGAGGAACTCATTTTCCCTATTGACACTTGAGGACTGCTGATATGATTCCCATGAAGCCTTTGTCAGTGGAAGGATGATAGTTCCACTAATGCTTTTCACAACACTCCATAATTTTCTGGATGTGGCTGTTAGAAAGCACTTTCCATTCATCTCTTGCCCACCCATTTGGGCCAGGATTCTTTCCTTAAGTGTTAAAGAAACATACTTTTTTTGTCTCTCTCTCTTTTTTTAAATAGTTTTATGCTCCGTATACAGAGAGTTCATTGCAATAACTACTGTTGTCTTTGTTTCATAGCACAGCATAAAATATGTTCCATATGTGTTTAGTGTTTTGTGTACTATGGTTATGTAGACAGTAACTCCACAGATCCCGTTTTCAGTAGCATGAGTAAGAAAGTGTGCAGTATTTAATATTAGCAAAATTCTGTAGAGAAATGTAGTTTAAATGTTTATTATTCAAGTCTGTTGTTTCTTTGTTCCCTCTAGGCTGGTCATTTTAAACAGTAGTACTGGTCATTCCAGTATTCCATGCATGCACATGTTCTGCTTGTTCTCTTAGTTCAGGGGTGTCAAACTCACCTCCCCCCTATTAAATCCACACAGCAGGGCTCCTCATGGTCATGCCTCCAAAATCTCTGGTCCTCCCCTAGCCCAGCAGCCTGGAATGAGTGCCTCTGCAGGCCAGATTCTGCCCTTGGGCCATGTGTCTGACAGTCTTGCCTTAGAAGAATATTTGCAGTTTTCCAGTGTAATTGTATAAGGTGAAAAACTGCAGAGAGAAAAATAAATCACAGATGATCTTGTAAAATTCTTAACTCATAGCTTCTGTTTTGGGATGCTTATTTTAGTATCGCTGTGATGATCACTACTTCACAACAGTTGGCATATATTAAACACATGTTGTCTTGTCCATAGCCATTTGAATGTTTCAGGGTGTTCGAATGTTTTAGGGTGTGTAGAGTAATTGGATACCATTCAGTTATTTACTCTTTTTATCATAGAAATTGAATATTATTTCAATTTATAGCAATTTGTCATATTGTATATGTTTCATAATTCAGGTGTATACTTGTGTCCTGAAATGAAGCATTGTTAAACTGGAGTTAGGGATTGGATTTGTAATGGCTCACTCATTTGACTTTTGTAAAGAAGCATAGTAACCGATCATTGTTACAACAAAAGGAATAACCTGGAAGAGCTATGCTAATTTTAAAAAATTATATTCATAATGTACTATGCATGTAGGTTATGAAAATAATTTTGTTTTGTAACCTGCCAGCAGTTCTAATTTTTGGACCTGCTTCAAAGATTCCTTCTTTGGCACACCCCCCTATACATTAGTTTACAGAACACACTTACCCCTTTTGCAGCGTCTGTCTCTTATGTCTGTGATCTTTTTTATTATTATTAAAAATAAGAATTGAGTAGAAGCTACCCTGTAATGTAAAGTAAATATTCTACTAGCTAAGGAAAAAAGATGCATGTTATGCCAGTGGTGACTTCAGCTATTTCTTTGGGGGCTTTTTATTTTATTTTAAATTCTATCACTGTTAAAAGCTTCTCTTACCTAAGCTGATACTTTAAGCATTAGGGATACAAATCTATAGAAGCAAAACAAAGAATAAAAATCTATAGAAGAAAAACAGTAATTTAAATTAATTCTGAACATGTTTTCCCAAAGTACTTTTTTCATCCTTCATAGTATGAGATCACCCTCCCTGGAGAGATGTATCCTCTGTTTGACAGAGTATGACATCATTGCATTAGCTAAGTAAGATGAGGTAATTCTTAGCTATACTGCTATAAATTAGCTAGAACCAGCCTTCTCCCAAGAGCATTGCTGCTGCCTTGTATTGGTATCAGCATTGTGAAACGGAAAAGAATGTTTCTGACAGAGCCCAGCAACAAAAAAATGTCTGAAGAACAAAAGACAGACCTAGGAGCAGTCAAGTGCAGCTGAGTTGTTTTATTAAGATGCTCAAAAATTCCTAGGATGTTAAAGGTGAATTGCAGGTATTGCACTGAAAACAAAGTGGATATATTAGTGTTTTAATGCCCACATCAAGGGGAAGTAGAGCATTCAGCACATAACTGACCTCAATCTGTCACTTCAGTTCTCATGGTCACAAAGGCTACCTCCATGTAAAAGACCATAGAATACATTAGAGTGATATAGCAGCTGTTACTGTAACCTCTCTGGCCTATGTAACTAGCCAAAAATGTATATAGTAAAAGCCTTTTTTTGTATTTTATAATAGGAATTTACCACACTTTTTGTGTAAAATGTTTGGGGTTTTTTAAATAACTGCAGTTCATTATAATTCAAAGATAGACTTACTACTTATTGGTGCTAAACGTGGAGTTTACAATCCAGTAGTGTTTCAGGGGTATACATGGCATTAACATCTTTTCTATACTGGGCAGTTAATATGCTGCAAACTAAGATATAAATTAACAGTGGATTAGCTACTCTGCCCTGATTTCCCATAGGTGCTGTAAAATCACACCTTATCTTACTGTGCACTAACTTCCTTGTGTAGACAAGCCCTTAATGATTGTGTCTCTGTGTCCCTGTGCCACTAGAAGAATAAAACTAGAAAGGGTGGGAATTAATGTAAGGTCAGCTGTAGGCTGAAAGCCCCATCTTTTTTTCCTGTTTGCACCAATCTTTACTATTTATCATTTTGGTTACAGTAGCAACCACTGTCCCCAGTCAAGGTCAAGTTCTACGCTAGGCGTTAGATACCATTTGCTTTATCAGGCCCCCTCTCATTTCACTAGTTGGCACCACTTGAACTAGATCCCTAATCAAGTTTAAGGGTACAGGCACAGGACAAAAAGTGGACATACAATGCACATACAATTCCACTTATAAAGCAGCCACATAGGGTTGCAGCTGGGTGCCCTGGGCAGCAACAACTTCTGGTTTCATGAATCAGGTCTGATGAAATAATGGATAGTCTATTTATAGCTAATGGTAAGCTTATGTTTAGATTTGCTGTGTATTGTGTGGTCTTCATGGGTAGCCAAAGATAAACTGTATCTAGTTTTAACATCTGTATGTTTTTATGGGTTGCAGCAGGGGTGTCAAACTCTCTCCAGGCCCCCAGCTGGATCTGTGAGGCCAGCAGCAGCTGCAGTGGGTCTGGCTTCAGGTCTGAGGGTGAGTGGCCAGCAGCGCAGGTTGGGGAGCAGGTGGCAGTATGAGTCTAAAAGAGGGTGGTGGCTGGATCAGGAGCGGTAGGAGCTGTGGGAGAGCAGACAGTGGTGTGGATCCAGGGGCGGAAGCAGCACAAATAAGGGAACAGATAGCAGTGTAGATCCCAGGATGGAAAGCAACAGGGCAAACAAGGACTGTATTTGCACAACCCTAGCTTGCATTGCTGCTGATAGACATGTCTCATTAATCATTACTGATAACTCGCAGTGTTGGATTAAGTTAAAACGATGTAAGCATTTCCTAGTTATAATTGGATCAGGAATCATACCTGACTTATCAGTCAGATGTACGTTGGGCGGGCAGGAAGTTATATACAGTACATAGTATATGCTTCCCAGTAATTCTATGGAGCATGTAAATGACCTCTTCAGAGACCTTGCAAACCACTATCTAGCCTCAGGTCAAAGTCTGCCTGTTTGAGGATATTTTCTGTTTCTCTTATGTCTGAACTGGAGCAATCATAATTTAACACTGTAGTACAGTAGTCAATGCAAAGTAGGAACACAGGGCTGGAAGGGGCCTCTCCAGTCTCCTGCATTCATAAACAGCCATTTAACCACAGATTTCTAAAAATTGTCCACTACAAACCCTCACATACAACTAAAAAGCACAAAACTATAGGTAAAAGATAATTATTTCCTTCAATATCTGATCTAAGACTTTAACATACTGTGGAAGTCAAGCTAATGGATTGTTTGTGTCACTTTTCTGAATACAGGCAACAAATCTGCTGTTCTTCAGGTATAGGGTACTATCCCAGTTCACTGAAGATCTGTACTAAAGGAGTTGCTGTTTTGTGTGTCAGTTCTTTCAGTATTCTGGATGGAAATGATCCAAACCCCCTTGATATTGTGACAGAAAGCCATTTAAGTTTTGCTTCCATCAATTATATAATAGCACAATAAGATTTTTTTAGGGCTATTTTCTATCTAATTATTTATCCATAGTGCTATTTTATTTGCTGTTTTGAGCAAATGCTGTCATTGATTAGTTCAGACTAACCTCTATGTCTTTTTTCCTGAGTGATTAAACTTAATATAGAACCCAATACTATCTACAGATGGGTCGTATAAGTCTTTCCAAATGTGCAACATATTTAGAAGAAATCAGTTATACACATTCAGTCATGCTGACCAGTTGCCTCAGTTGAAGTTATCTTGTAGTTCCTCATGGTAATAAAGCAATGTGTATATAAACTGAAAAGTAGGAATTGGTTTCATACATTTCTGTTTTATTAGGTTTTCACGTTAAAAGAGAACAACAATGGCAGACTTAGAAGCTGGACTCCAGTCAGGGGAAGATGTAGCAGATGCAAGATCTTTCATTGGCTCTGAACAGTGAGTGGGGTGTCTTTAATTTTACTGTTGTGAGAGGGGACCTTTCAAAGGGTTTTGTGTGGGTTGGAAGTGGGGGTTATATTCACTTTATCTCAAAATCAATTATGTGCATCACCTGTCTGTTGTACCTTAGTGCACAGGATTGCAAGCTCATGTGTTTTGTTTGTTTGTTTTATAAAAACTATATTGTTGTATTGTTGAAAAGTAGTATGTGATATGATATTATAATCTCGGATCATGCAACCCTTACACATCCACACAGCTTCAAGCATAAGAGTAGTCCCATTAATAGAGAGAGGTAGTTAGCCATGTTAGTCTGAATTCAAGCAGAAGGCAGGGTAGATTTGCACTTTATAGACCAGCCTCATTAATGTCACTGTAACTTCTAATGTGAGTACAATTTGAGCAGGTTTATAGTTGTGCACTATATTGTAACTAGTATATACTAATATACAAATAGTATTTGGCTGGTCAAATAAAGTTTGGTCAATTGACTGGTCAAATATCAGTCAAAAATTGTAAAAAATTACCAACAGATCCAAATACTACACAGAAAAAAAGCACAATTTTTAATTAACAAATATGTAAAATATATGTATATAATCATATTTCTGTTAAGAAAACTACAAAAGATATAACTTTTTTTGTAAAATAGTTACAGTCTTTGACTGGTCCAAAATATGCAGTTAATTAACTGGTCAATTGACAATATTTGACCAGTCAATTGGTTGGCTTTCTAATCCTAGCAAATAGGAATCAAATTAAGGTTATACATCCAGTGTGAAGTTGCCATTTTACAAGCTATTCAGTACTTGTGTGGGATCTTAACATTCCATTACATAGCTCTTTGATCTAGTTTAAACTCTTGTTCTGCCCTCAGATATATATATATATATATACATACATACATACATACATAAACACATTTGTTGTTATCGACATTAATAGAGAATACTTGTATCTGGCGTTACCTTTAACATTAGTTAATGAAAATGATAGTAAGGGCTTTTGTTTGTTTGTGATATTTCCATATACTAATTTTTTGTATTTTTCTTGGCAGGCACACTGTCGAAGTAGATGCACTTCCTGGGTATGTAGTCCATCGTTGTTAAAAATTGCAGATTAAATAAGTCAAGATGCAATAGAAAAAGGTAGATTGCTTTTTTATTTGTCTAACTGTATGTTTAATAGAACTATACACATATAGTTTCACATGCTGGAGCTTTACTGTTCAGCACAGTTCTGCAGGCTGTTTTACACAGGTGAATACCTGTTCCTGTGTGGAACTGAGTGGATCTTATCAAGGATATTTACAGTACTCAGCAAGGAGGTAGTGAAAAGTATATTATCACTTTCACTGATTAAAATTGTATCATAACAATATTAATGCTGATATAACATTATAGCAAGATTATAAATTGATTGAGGACATTTTATTTATATGAATGCTTGGTGGACTTTGTAAACTCATCTGTTTATATTTCCTGGTTTCAGAAAGAACCCACCTGCTGGTAAATCCATGGACTCTGAAATACTGCCAGATGACAGTTACAAAATGGATTATCCAGAGATGGGGATGTGTGTAATAGTAAATAATAAGAACTTCCATCCAAGCACTGGTATCTATTGCTATTTCTATGTTCTTTTTACATTTTTGTCTTAATTGAGATAAAGCAATAAAACATAATTTTCTTCAAAGTTTAAATATGTAATGAAATGGTCTTGATATTTGTAAGAAAAATTTAATCAGTACATACTGCAAAACACGTGAGGGGTGGGAATGTGTGAATACACCGGAGTATAGGAATAGGGAACTTGAAATCCTTTACAAACTGGTTTGCAATGCAAACCTATCTCAGGTCCTCAGTTTTGGCACATTACTTAAACTCATAGACAATATAAAGCCTACAGGCCTCTGCTTATACCCAGGCTGGGGCTGGGCAGTGAGGAGCTATGATAGGGATGGGCAGCTGGAAGCTCTGCTTGCATTGTCACTGCTTCTCTCTACTCCCTGCAGGCACAGTTTCCATCTGGTGGGGAACTGAGCCAGGGCTGCGCAGCTGCCAGCTGTGCCTGCACTGCTGTTGGGGACAGAGAAGATTTGAGGGGAAGTGGGAGGAGTGGGTGGGTGGGCAGCTGGGAGAAGTGGTAGCAGTACAGACATAGCTTTCAGCTCCCGTGGCTTCAGGACAGCTCACAGCTGTTTGGCCTCAGCACAGGCTCAGGCAAAGCCCCCTCGCTGCTGACACACCACCAAAACCACCCAGCCTATGCCAGACTGGACCCTCTGACCTACATCTTAAAAAGGTTGCCAGTACTTGCCATAGATTATTTTTTCACAGCATTTCTTTTTTAGAATAAAAATGCTGATTTTTTTTTTTTTTTTTTTTTTAAATGAAGAATCTTTGCTTCTCTAAATAAATGCCTAGTGTGAGCTCATGCTTTTTTTACACAGGTGTAAATCTGAAATAACATTGGTTTCAATGGAGTTATTCCAGAGTTATCCAAGTATAACTGAGAAAAGTATTTAGCTCTGATATCTCACTCACATTGTATTTTCATAATGAACTCACAGTAAATCTTTTTTTAATCTATAGGAATGGCATTTCGATCCGGTACAGATGCAGATGCTGCACTTATTAGAGAAACTTTTATAACTTTAGGTTACAAAGTCAAGCTTAACAATGATCTTAAGTGTAAGCAAATTATTGGCCTTTTGGAAAATGGTAAGTACTAATAAGCTAGCCATTAGGGGGGTGTGAAATGGGCCCTATTCAATATTCAAGTCCCTGATTTGGGCTGAATCTGAGAAAGCAATTTGATTAGTTGATTCAGATCACTGTCCCTGATTCAATTAGGGCAAATCTGAATCTGAAGATTCAGTGCTGATTCAGAGACTCGGCGATTCAGCTATAGACAGCTTTAAATGTTTTTTCTACATACCTCAAGGTACCAGGCACGGCTCATGAACACTACAATGCCAGGACAGATGGAGTGTCCCACAGGAGCGTGGCGTGCTCGGCTGTGAACTCACACACATGCTCGGCAGTGAACCTGGAAGTGGACTAGAAGTACTTCCAGTCCATTTCCGGGTCCACCGGGGAGCACACTGGGCTCCTGCGCCCCCTCAGCTCGGCAGTCGGCTGCGGGGAGGACCCCAGGTGCCCCCCCAGACCCAGGAGGCACCAGCTGGCAGGGCACAAGGAAGGACCCCCAGCATTCATGAGCCCCCCGGTACCATGAGGTATGTAGAAAAAACATTCAAAGCTGTGTCATGTCTGAATCTCTGAATCCTTCCGAATCTCTCTGAATTGATTCAGAGGGTTCCAATTCGATTCAGAGAGATTAAAGGGTCTCCTGATTTGATTCAGATTTGGAGATATGGCCAACAAATCAGGCCAGATCTCTGCTGAATCTAATCAGGGACCGAAGCTTCGCACAGCCCTACTAGGTATGCATATTACAATGTTGCTATGGTGTAAAGCACAGGCGTTGAACTCACTAACAGCTCTGCACCAGATCCAATCTGCAGGGCTCCTCATGGACCAGATTCATGGGGGTGGCTGTCACTGCCACTGTGGGCAGCAGTGAGGGGTCCCACTCCACTCCCCAGGGACATCCCAACAGTGTGAGGAGCACCATTCAGAACCAGCCCTGTAGTGAGGTCCTGTCCCTGCATGATAGGTGGAGCAGGTCTTATTCCCTGTTTAGTGACCCTACAGTGGTGGTGGTGGTGGTAGGTCTGGGACATGGGTCCACTGGCAGCAGCAGTGGGTCTAGATGTGGAATCTGGAGATGGCAGTAGCAAACCAAATTCACTGGTAATGACAATGGCCAGCAGACCCTAAGGGCTCTGAACTTTGTAGCAGGGCATGCCCCCAACTTCTGGTGGTCTGCTGGTAGCATGTTTGACACTCCTGGTATACATTTCTTCAAACACTTAGGGAGTGAATAGTGAACACTTCTAACCAGTAGAAAATCATGGCTACAAAAAAAATTATGGCTTCTCTTATTTTAGGACCTTTGGGCTGGATCCTCTGAGATGCTGAGAACTTGGGGCAGACCCAGCAAAGAATGTGCTTAATTTTTAAACTCATCTATAATCTACTAGCTTCAGCAGCACTGTTCACATGCTTAAATATTTTGTGGAATTAGCCCAGAACATTATTCACCTTGCAGGATTGCATCCTATATGTAGTTTACTAATGCTGTCAGAATCTAAACTTCCTTTCACCTCAGCATTGTGTTCACAGCTGCTTCAGCACTGCTTTCCTCTCACAGCCCCTGCTTTGGAAAGCAAACGAAGAATTATTTTTAATCTATCCCAGACTTTAAAGTTCCTTCCTGTAAGGATCTGTTTACTGTGTACTTCTAACATATATTAAAACTACCAATAATTGACTTAAAATAATATTTTTCTTTTAAAATTTTATTTACATTTTCCTCCTGTATCATGACTTAACTTTCATATTTACTGCTGGTATAAACCTGCTTCAATTCCTACCATTATTTCTGTAATGATTGTGGGGATATGGCCACAGTATTTCAACAGTCTTTCCTGCACCCCAAGAATCAGTTTTGCAACGGTATTTGCTCCATCTTGGGAGAAATGCAGCAGGAGAACCTGCTGTATACACACCATGTCAGGTTCAGGTCTCATTTAGCCATGTTTTGATTAAGGGATCTGAACCCTGAAAAAACAGAACAGCAAGAAAATTTTATATAATGGAAAAATAAGACACCAACTCCCTTGCCTGATATGAAAAAAAATATAGGTGAAACAGCACTGGAGACAAGGCAGGCGCAAAGGGCAACACAGTGAAAGCTTATGAAGAACTTGTAAAAACCCAGCAGGATATTTTGAATTTGATTCAGAGATGGGCAGGAAGCCAGTTACACGTTCTTCTGGAAGAAGAATATAATTTAGGTGAAGCGTTCTGGATCACTTTAATGTAAAGTTAGGGTAATTAGGAAAAAAATAAGAGGATTAATTGCAATAGCACTCAAAGAATGAACTCACCGGGGTACGAAGTTAATGTTAACCTGAAACTATGCATATAATAGTGATAGGCATTGCAGGAAACAACTTATAAACGTTTATGATAGAAGCTTGAATTGGTATTCTTGGCTCTTTCTTTGCTCTTTTCTAGTAAGCTGTTAACCACTTTATAGTTAGCTGATGGATGTGATTGGTCATGTCTTCAGATTTTCTTACTCCAGGGTACCTGGTTCAACTGTAGACAAGGTTAATCATGATCAAAAGTTACTGTCCACTTGCTGTTCATTTTTCTAGGCAGAAAGTGGTTTTGGTGAAGATCTCATCAAATACATTGTTTATAATATAAAAACCACCCTTACTAGATCTGTCATTTTATTGTCAACATTATAGTATCCTTCGCTATAAAGAACTTCAGCAGAGGACAAAAAGAGTTTAGAGACCCAGCTAAACTTTTTCAAGGATGTTAAAGGCTTAGCAGTAGAAGTGTTGGACTCTGATCCACTATGACCCAGTGATTCAGGAAAATACACCCCGCCTCATTGAAATTGTTCTGGCAAGCAGGGAAGATGTTACTGCACTAGTTAGTTTTGGTTGTCAAGCAGCTCTTTGCTCAAGATGTCAGTGTTGCTCCCAAAACTGCAGAATATTGATTTAGTTAATTTCTTTTTCTAAAGTTCAAAAGACTGGACCACAGGGTCTCTCACCAGCAGTTGAAATTGACTGAGTGGCTTTGAAGGCAGGTGGGGTGAGGCAGAACTATCCTACGGTGAAGTTACTTAATTTACTGTACCCAAATACTGGCACACATGTAGACAGTAATGCTTTACTGCAGAGCTAATTAGTCAACTGCAGTAAAGGGCATGTGTAGATGCACCCATGAATTGTCAGAATTCCTAAAATAAATACATAAATTGAATATAATTATTTATCTTTTCTTTCAAGTTGCTAAAGAAGATCACAGCAAGCGGAGCAGTTTTGCTTGTGTGTTGTTAAGTCATGGTGAAGAGGGAGTGATCTTCGGTACAGATGGTCCTCTTGAGTTGAAATTATTAACAGGACTCTTCAAAGGTCAAAGTTGCAAGACGCTAGTTGGAAAGCCAAAGCTCTTCTTTATTCAGGTAATAGACAACTGATTTGGTAAACACTTACTATGTGCAAGTTTCCCTTAGGCACTGAGGCAAAGCCAAAAGTTTTATGCTTCCTTTGTTTCCAGCTTGAGGAATAGAGTACTTTCTATGAGTACAAGAGGCATGACTCTGGCTCTGTATAGATAGCCAGTTGATATGATAGGCTAAGCTATGAATTTCAGAGGGGTAATTGAAAGAATTATTTAAAATAATGGTGCTCAAACTTTTTGGCCAGCTGGCCGGATGGGCAATGCCCAGGTCGTCCATGAGCCAGATCTTATTGGTCCCAATCTGGCACAGGGTGGTTGCAACAGGGCCCCATACAGCTGCACTCAAGGGGACAGGGGGCATCCAGGGGCCCCAGCCCAGCCCAGTGGGTGGGGAGGGGGCATGGCCAAACCCCAGCCTGGCCCTGCGGAGGGGTGAGAGGGGGAGCATTGCCCAGCCCCATCCAGGCCAGGGAAAGGGACATAGCCTGGTTTCATCCTGCCATGGGGGTGGGAGAAGGTCTAGCAGCCTGGCCTAGCCCCAGCCTGCTGCATGGGGGTCAGGGTTTGGGAATTTGGCAGCAGGGAAGGGTAGCAATATTTATTGTCACCACTCCCCTGCAGGCAAATTTCCAATCCATGGGCAGCCCTGAAGGCCGGAATACCTATGGCTCCATGGGATGCATTTGGCCCGTGGGCTGCAGGTTGAGCACTCCTGCTTTAAAACATTAGTTAGAATTTCAGTGAGTTCTTAAATATGAAATCAACATGTTAAATGAATAAACCTTTAATTTATTAGAACTGGGGCAATCAGTTACAGAAACTCATATTGTTTTACTTGGCATTTTGACAATCAGATTCTCATTCTTAATTCATTTAATAGTTTTTGAAACGTGAAACAGCTCTTCAAACTATGTTTGAATTAACAGTAAATATTGTAATTATGTCTTTAATTTTTTTTTCTTTACCAACTAGGCTTGTAGAGGGACAGATTTGGATCCTGGCATTGAGACAGACAGTGGACCAGAGGAAAGAATGTGTCAGAGAATACCTATAGAAGCAGACTTTTTATATGCATATTCTACTGCTCCTGGTAAGAGCTTCAGTGAAAAATTCTTCATGGCTAAATATATAGAAATGTGTTTGTACTGATACAGGCAAGGTTCTCTGGGTAGACGTGATATCTTTCATTAGACCAACTGAGTAGTTGGAAAAAAATTCTTAGCAAGCTTTTGGACTCAGTCACCCTTCTTCAGGCATAGGGAGTCTCTGCTGTGCTGAGACTCCAAAGAATGAGAGAAGCTAAAAGTGTGACAGGATGTCAGGGAGAATGTAAATAGGTAGAAATTAGGAAAACAAAAGGAGGGGCAGGGTTTTTAGTGGTAGCCGTGTTGGTCTAAGGCAGTGGTCTCCAACCTTTTTAAGTAGGAGATCATCTTTGGCATTTAAAAGCAACCCAAGACCTACTGTGCGCAGATCATCTTTGGCATTTAAAAGCAACCCAAGCCCTACTGTGCAGCCCCCGCCCCCACCCAGCAGGTGAATCTGTGGGGAGGGAAGGCAGGGGTGCAGATCAAGGCAGAGGGAGAAAAAAATATTTGGGGGTGCACCCCCCCCCAGCAGGTAAGTCTGTGGGAGAAAGGGCGGGGGGAAGGGAAAGGGCTGTGAGGGGAGGGGGCAGATCAAGGCTCCAGTCCACTTCCTCCCTCACTGGGGCCTTGATCTGGCCGCCCACCCCCCACCCCCGGCGGTGGCGAGGGAGGGAGTGGGACTGGGGCAAGGCAGTGGGACGAAGCCATAAGTGGCTCATCCGTGGGGCGTGGGGAGAGAGGGGCATGCACCCCAGGAGGGCATGGGGGGGCGTGTGCCCCCAGGTTTGCACGCTGGCTGGGCCGGCTGCTGCTGTGGGCTGGGACCAGGGCTATGCTGGGGTGTACTAGGGCCGGGCAGCAGCAGTGCTGAGAGGGGGGCTATGGGGGGTGCTACTGGCACCCAAAAATTCGCCGTAAGCCCCCCATAGCTCTCCTCACAGTGCCGCCACCACTGCCTGGCTTGAGTGCAGCATGGCCCAGCTCCCCACCATGAATGCCTTCCAGTCCCAGCCCGCCCTCCCCCCACGCAGATCCCAGGGGGAGAAGGCAGCATCACACTCTCCATGGCAAGGAGCTGGGCTGCACTGCACTCAGGCCAGGCGGTGGAGGTGTTGTGTGTGTGTCGGGGCGGGGGGCTACAGCAAATCTTTAGGTGCCTGCATCCTACCCCTCCCATAGCCCTGTTCCTAACACCATCACCGCCTGGCCCAGCATGCAAATCTGGGGGCACAGACCCCCCATGCCTTCCCGGTGTGTGTGCCCCACACCCCTGGACAACCTGCTTGCAGCTCTGTCCTGTGCCCCAGCTACGCACAGCCTGCCCCTGCTCCAGCCCCACTCCCTCCTTCACAGCTGCTGCAGCCACCTGCGCTGCCCAGCGTTTGTGGGGGGCAGCTGAAGTTGTGGGCTGGGCTTTGCACCCCAAGCCCTGCTGCAGCAGCTGGAGCAGGAGCAGCTCGAAGCCACGTGCATCCCACGCTGAGCTGAGCCTTGTCCCCTGCCCTCCCAGTGGCTGGACACACATGGTGTCAGACCGCTTCCAGGTGTGATGCAGCGGAGCTCCAGGTGCAAAGCCCAGACTGGAATGGCAGCTGCTTCTGCCACGCACAAATGCCCCCCCAGGGCCTCCACTGGGGTGCGCACAGTGTTGGGACCACCCCCTCCTTCCGCACCCTTGGAGAGCCACCTGGGCTTGATTCTCCCACCACCCACCCAGCAGGGGCCCCACTCACCTTACCCCTGCTCCTGCCTCTACAGCACTCTGTGCCTTACTGCAGGGGCCTCGATTTTGCCCCCACCTCTCCCTCCCCCATGGACTGACCTGCTAGGCTGGAGGTGGGGCTCATGCTCAGTCCCCCCCCAGCCTCAGATTGACTCCAAGAGGCTCCAAGATTGACCACTGACCACTAGTCTGAGGAGATAGACAGGCAAGGTCCGTTGAGTATATGTAGGTCTTTTATGAGACCAGCTGAGTAGCTGGAAAAAAGTTCTTAGCAAGCTTTCGGGACCAGTCCTGAAGAAGGATGAACTGCTAAGAACTGCTCTCTAAAGCTTGCTAAGAACTTTTTTCCAACTACTCAGTTGGTCTTATAATCTGCACAAAGAACCTTGCCTGCCAAAGATAGAGCAGGGAAGGGAGGTGGGGAAAAAGCACAGGGAAAGAAAGCCAAAGGTGAGGAACGGAGACTACAGTAGTAGTAATTCAAGGTAAAAAAGAAGCTGTCTGGGAAAAAGGAAAAAATGAAATACCTGGAAATTGGGAAGATAAAGGGCAGGAAAGTAGGGTAGGAGAGGGGAGAAATGGGGGCGGGAAAGAAAAGTGTAAGAGGTCAGGTCTGGCAGGTACCTGGTGAACGTCTACCTTTCTTTTTGTTTAAATTCATTCTCTTTTTTGTGTTACCACATACATCCACCAAATGAGGTAGTGGTCCAATGGCTCTTTTTACCACAACATGCATATAAGTCTGTATCACTGGCAAACCCTCAGACTCAAACATTTCTTTGCAGACTCATTGTATACCTGTAACTGATTGGATTCATACAAATTAGGACAAGAAACAAAAAGTATTACTATTTAGAATGAGGTTGAAGAGAGGCAGGGATTGCAACAGTGGGCGCATCTAGAAGAGATGCTATGCCACCATAGCAACATGCTATGACATAGCATCAGCGGGCACAAACCGTGATGCCGCAGCAACACTGCTGTAGTAACGTGCTCCTTTGCTATAGCACATTGCTACAGCAACCCCTAGAGGCTAATAATAACTGTGCGCTGCCAGTTTGGGCTGTGACTGCGCCATCATTTAGTATTTCCAACAGGAAGTGCAGTCTCTGTTATTCGGCATCCCTGGGGTAAGGGAATTGCCAGTTATGTAAAAATTCCAGTTATCTGAAAACCCCCAGCAAGGGTTTTCAGGTAATGCGAGGTGAGGGGGGTGGTGGAAGCCACTCACGGAGCAGTGACAGCGCAGGGTGCAGGGTGGTGGCAGCGGCTACATGCAGAGCAGTGGTGAGGGTGGCAGC